TTAATGAAAAATGTTTTTATTATAGAGAACATACGTTTCGGGTCTGATTTGACCCATCTTCAGTGCTACAATTAAATAATTCAGGGTTACAAATTAAAACAATATAAAAAAATACATAATTAACAGACAAAAATAAGTAAAACAATGTATATGAAAAGTATATATGAAAAACAACCATAAAATAAACAATGTAAAGAAACTCACCATACAAATAAACTTTGAAAAACAACACAAAAACACAAAATTGCACGAAAAATAAATAAAAGTGAAATAAAAAATTGATGAAACGTCGAGTTATGAAAAATTTTAAAAAAATTGTAAAATTAAAATGAATGATATATTTTATTATAAAAAAGCTTATTCCAAACGAACATGTTGTTAGTTTGGAAGTTGTATTACGAGTGTGTACGAATTTTAAATTATAAAATTATTAAATAGAAATTATAACGGTCCATGATGCGAGAGGTTACACGCAGGGAGACACATTGCGGAAGATGCATGCCGAACCCAAAAATCTACCTAAAAACCACAACATGTGAAAAAAAATAACACCAAAAAAGGAAAAAATGTGAAAAAAAGCGAAAAAAAAAGGAAAAAAAAAGGGAGGGAGAGGAGGAGGAGGAGGAAGGAAGAGGTGGAGAGCCTTAAAAAAAAAACCCTTAAGTCCCAGATCAATTTTTCTCTTTTCTGTTCAGCGTTGAAACTTTTTTATGTTTTTTAGTGTTCCCTCACACCAATTCCCAAAACCAACACTCGAATGAAATGAAGTCCACGTTGAAATTTTCACAACGAGAAAAAATTACTGGGACTTAGTTAAAATATTTAACTTTGCCCCAATAAAATTTTCTCGTTGTGAAATATTCAATGTGAGCCTCATTCATTCGAATGTTGGCTTTGGGATAATACAGCATGCATAAATAACTCGTCTGTCTTAATTGAAAAGGTTTCAGAAAATTTGGACTTAGAAAAAAAAAATTATCTGAAAGGATTTAGAAAAAAAAAAAATTATTCGAAAGAATTATAATCAGAAAATTTGGACTTAGAAAAAAAAATTATTCGAAAGAATTATAATCAAAAAATTTTGACTTAGAAAAAAAAAAGAATTATTTGAGAGAATTATTTAATTTATCGATGAAATGAAATCATATTAATCGAATCAAAATCATTTATACGACTTGATAAAACATGTGAAACCTTTACAATTAATCGAGACAAAAAAATAAATATAGCTGACTTGAATAATATACAAATTATTGGAAAAAGCCAAAACAGAAATTCAATTAAAATTTGTAAAATGAAATAATAAAAAATGTTCAAAAACTTTAACATTAAAAACTTCAAAACTGTTATAAAGCTCATTGTTATCCTTTAGAAATTGAGTTAAATAGTTTTTACAACTTGAATCGAATAATAAACTTGTTAACAAAATTATGTTTTGTCTAATCATTCAAGTCAACTCTTTGAAACTTCGATTGCATGTCTTGATCAAAATTGTTTTTAGCAACAAAAGAATAAAAATTTATCATTTAGCTATGCAGCGATATAATTGAATAAATTTAGAATAAAACTACAGTTAAAACTTTTAAAAGCTGCATTAAATTAACGATTTGGTAAGTCGTATTAAATATTTGAAATAATTTGATCAAAACCAGCAATCGTGTTATCCAATAAATAAAAATGAACATGCAGTCAATATCGCTACAGGAAAAACACATGATTCTTGATACTGGAAATGTAATTTAAAAAATTGTTTCCGAAGAATAATGAACAAGAAGTGTCACAAAAAAAGAGAATTTGTAACAAAGTAAATTTGTAATTTGCAATAAAATACCATCAATTTAGGAGTTACCTAAGGAAGGATGCTAAGACCTCTTCAACAAATAAGTAATCGATGCTTACAAAAAGCTGTATTGGTTAACTAATAATTTGGTAACAAAAATTTAATATATAAGAATTTTGAATTCTACATAATATCAGCTCATAGTGTTGTTATAGAACAAAAGAATTTCTGGTGGAATATTATTATGGAATTGTAATAATATAAATTACTTTCAATGTCTTTGATACATACGAGAAGTACAAACTTTTATCTTTTATATTGATTTAAAACATTCATAAAATTTTAATTCATAAGTAAATTAAAAAAACTGAATCAACATGTTTTCCCCATAACAAATTAAATATGAACATAGTCTTTTACACATATGTCTGCCAAATTAACTTATAATCTTTTATTAGCTTATTTTATATTAGTTGTAGTTGAATAAACAAACAATATATTGTATTTTATGCATTAAAAATTAATAAAGTATATCTTATTAAAGAAAATGATATTGACTCAAATATAATAGTATAAACAATATTTTCAGCAGATATATGTATACAACTATATTAATAATGCCCGAGTCAGAAAATATTCCACTAAAATATATACAGGCTGCTTTATAAATGATATCGGATAAGAAAGGCAAAAGTTCTCAAAGCGTCTTTCAATTAATTTCATTTAATATGAAAAACAAGCATTATATACATAACTATATAAGAAACATTATTATTACAAGCATAAAAGTATATAAATAAAAAACTCGGTCATTAATTGTAAACCTCTTTCGGAAAATAAATTATGAGTAATATCTTTTATTTATTTCTATTCAAATTATAGTTTCACTAAAGATGAATTAATATATTGTATTGAAGTAAAGATTTTCAAAATTATTTGACTGCTTTAAATTTAAAAATAAGAAAAACTTAATGTATTGAACTGTAATAACAATTCGAATCATTATTTGTTTAATAATTACAAAACGCATTGCTAGTTATATGTAAGTTACGCGGTCATCGGAAGTGCTTACTGTTGGATTTTGTAAATAGGTTGTAAACAATAAATTAGTATATAAGAGTTAGACAAAAGTTAGACAGAAACATACGTTTCGGGTCTTGATTTGACCCATCTTCAGTGCTACAATTAAATATTTCAGGGTTACAATTTAAAACAATATAAAAAATACATAATTACAGAAAAATATAAATAAAAACACGTAAAAAAGCATAAATCTAACCAATTTAATAAATTAAATAAATAAAAACATTTTCTTTCAATAACACTGTTTTTAATTACTGGATGGATGCCCAAGCACAATTTTATCATATTATTTCACCATCTGAAGAAAAACCTCTCGCTTTATAAGAATTAAATATTGAATATTTAAAATAAAGTATTACATATCAGATGTAGCATGATAAATGCCTGTATATATCAGAAATATATTCTTTGACTCGCTTTGTATAAAACATGCTTTGCACTTACATTGTTGAAAATCTTCTGCAGCAAATCCCAGGATACATAGTCATTAATCGAACCACCTCTGGAGCATTTGCCAGAAATCTCAAGTACTCGACACAAAATCACTACTTTAAAACCACTACATAACTTTAGTCTTTCACAAGTCTATTTGACCTGTTGCAATTGTCCGAGTAAAGTCTTTACACAATATACGACACACGACTTACTTAGAGACTTTCGTGAATTTAGAATTCGATAATAAAGAGATATGTGTTGAAAGTACTTAAATATAACCTACAAAAGCACATATATATAAATTATACATTTTACAATTGCATATATATAAATAAAGGATACATTGACGCTGTAAATAAATTGTTTAATTATAAAATTTACTCAAAATGGAGGCCCTGAAAGAGATACTTATAAAACTATTCAAGGTACATCCAAGCACTTCCAAACATACCCATTTTTTGGCTTTTAATTAACGTTTCACGATAAATTTATTATATCAAAATGATTTGCTAAATTAATTACACGTTTTGATGCATAAATTAATTAAAACTAATCAAGGATTTAATTAAAAAACGTTAATTAACTCAACCGCGTGTTAATTCACGAACATTTCTTCGACAATTGAAGTTGTCAACATGTGTCAGAATGACTGTCACCTCTTGTACAATTTAAAGCGCGAAATTCAAACTTGAAATTCAAACTTTATGAAATACACCTATTTGGAGATATACGGTTTAAAGCAAAACAAGATCTCTGAATATGTGATAATTAAATTGTTTTTATTCTTGTCTAATATTATAACGCTCTACATCAACGCGATGTACTTTAAAGTCTTAAATTTTAACTTTGTGAAATTCACCAAAAGTGAATGGTTTTGTTTGAAAGGTATAGCAGTTTGTTAATTTAATTGCAAATAATGCTTTGATTCAATATTTTATCACCGGCAAAAGTTTTCTCGATTCTAATTAGTACATCGCGTTGATAAAAGTTAAAAGCTGTTTTATTCATTTCAATATGTTTCAACGTCGAACAAAAAATCCTCAAAATATATATATATATATATATATATATATATACATATTAAATATATATAATATATACATAGGTATATATATATATATATATATATATATATATTAAATATAATATATATATATATATATATATATATATATATACCTATAAACTTTAAAATAAATATGGATTATAAGTATGAAAATTGGATCATCCGTAAGTATAAAATTAAAAATAATGACAGTAGTAAGTACTTACTAACAGTAGCTAAGTTCTTATACTACAACGTAGTGCATGTCTATGTTATCATGTCATTAAGTCAATTGTTCAACCATAGGTATATTAATGTTATATTCATACATGCTCTAAACCAATCATACAATAAATATTTTGATATATTTCTGATGATTTTCAAGTTTTTGTAATTGATTATTATAAAAGAATTAAAAGTCGATAAATTTTTTAAGAAAATGGAAAAATTAAAAAATAAGTTATTTGAAATATTAGTTTATTTATTATTAAATTATTTTATTATTTACTTTGATAGTCTATGGAAGTTTACATATATTTAAATAGATATTTAAATTTAATATATAATAAATACATATTTAAATTCAATTAAAAGAATGTTTCATATTCTTTAAAAAAATACTAATAATGGCTACTTTGCCAAACACAATTGGCCCCGCCCTGATATTAAAATGAATCATAAATCACTTTAAAGGTATTTTTGAAAATATCTGATATAACAATTTTCACCTTTTTACTTCATCATTCGGCTGTGATGTCATTGAAAATATGAAAAAGTGGCTGCTGTTTTCAAGCTCAGCTTCTGTCTATGAGCAATATCAGAAAAAAAAGATAAAATTTCATTTTATGTAATCATCGGTAGGTTGTCCAAACTTTTGTTTACTTCTATGTGCTGTTGATTTGTTAAAACATTCTTGTTGTCCATTACATCAGATCCGCAGGTATTTTTTCGACTTCTTTTATGAGCTTGAAGATTCGAAACACATGAAAATCTAGCACCACAAGCTGAACAAAAGTGGCGTTTATATCCCGTGTGTATAGAACGATGTGTAATTAAAGATTCGCGGTAAGCAAATGCTTTAACACAAAACTAAAAAGGATGTAATTTTACTTAATCTCAAAATATTCATTCTTTTAATGTCATTAATACCGACCTCACATTTAAATGGCCGCTCGCCACTGTGACCTCGTTCATGAACTTTAACTTCACCGCGCGTTCTGAATGCTTTTCCACAATAACTAGAAGAAAACTTTGTAAGTTATTCTAAACCCATAGATAAACAAGTATAAACTTTAATATATACAAATGATAATTGTGATTTAAAAATATATTTAAAATCAGCTGTTAGATTGAAAATATGAATATATATATATATATATATATATATATATATATATATATATAAACAAAATCTAGTAATCGGGCATAACATCAATAAAAAACAAATTTCTTTCAAAAATTTATTTTAAACCATACGTTTCGGCTATAATCCTAGCCTTCATTCAGTGGAACTAAAAATAAAATTAAAAACTTAAACAATTGAATTGGAGTGAAAAGAAAAAATAAAATAGTAAATAGTTATTCTTAGTGTTAAATTGGAAAATTTTAATAATCCATGGTATCAAGATATGGTAATGCACTACACTATGTATTATAAACATTAAACTTGTAATTACACAATATTTTCACAAAATACTAATTTAAAAAATCGCAATTTGATAGTGTGTTGTTCAAAGGCTGGTTGAAGATGTAATGGAGAAAGGACTTTTTTAAAAAATATAATTTTACCAAGATTCTACACATGTGTGGAACAAATTGTGAATCCTTTGCGCGTCGTTTTTATTGTTTTGTAAGAAATTTGGAAATACTATCTAAATAAAGGAGATTAGATCGATTATATATGATTATATGGACAAAATGATCATACTTGTTTACTTGAAATAATTCTGTACGTCTAAAATTTTTCATATTTATAAAGATTATCCTAAAAAGCACATTGATACAAACTAAAAAGGTCATTCATTGTTAACTCACCGACATAGCTGTTGTAGTTTGTCTCCACCAATAGCATGGACAGTCATATGTGATCGAAGCGATGCAGCAGACGAATATATATGTTTGCATTTTGGACAAGTGTGTATTTTATTAGAACTTGAAAGAGTATTACTTTTAACATTTAAATCTGCATTATGGCTATGAGAATCTTCATGTTCTATAAGAGCACGTTTTGATGGCTGTCTTTTGCCTGAAATTTAAATATATTATTTTTGAAAAAATTTAATAAAACTATGAAAATTTTTATACCGTATCTCTTAGATTTTAAAGAGTCATATTTTGAAATTTAGATAGTATAAGAATTATGCAAAAAAAAGAAAATAATGATTATAATTCAAAATAATCTAAATCAGCTAACCGCAAACAGAACAAACATATTTATATTTCTTCTTGGGAATAGGTTCATCACTATGCTCTCGTTTAATATGTAACGCCAATAACTCAGGCCTTTTGAATAATTTAGCACAAGGTGTGCAAGCCAATTTATCCTTATGTTCTGCATACTGATGTTGCAAACAAGAATTAGTGTCATGGAAGAAACGTGGGCAGCAAGCACAGCGAACTAATAATAAACCATCAGGACCTGAAATTTTGTTTTGTTAAATTATTTGTTTACTGTTAAAAATAATAGTTAGTCCTTGTAATAAGTTTGCTTATATAACAATATTACCTATAAATAATAAATGGGTTGAACTTTGTGATATCTGATTTGCACAAAATTCGTTTTACATGTTCCATAAAGTATTCAAGTAATTTCATAAATTATTTCAATACTTTGTTCAAAATTATACAATTAAATTAAAGATATAATATAATAGTTATGATAAATTTTATACTTTTTTTCATTGGTTATATTGGTTACCAAGTAATTTTTTAATGTTTACCATGCATTTCTTCATGTTTTATAAGAATTGATTTGTTTAAATATTTTTTGAAACAAAATTTACAGCTGTATGCACTTTTATTTTGTTTATTTTTCATTTCCCTTTCTTTCTTGTTCTCTGTTAATGTACCCATGACACCACCTGCAATATCAAACAATGATATTATCAACAAAGTAAAATTTGAGTTTTGTACCATACCATGAGATTTTTCATGTTTTTCTAAGGCAGATAAATAAGCATATTCTTTTAAACAAAGCTTGCATGAAAATAATGGTCTTTCCAGTCTTCCATTTATACTTTCTGTGGGAGAAAATAAATCAGTTGGCAAATCTATAACATCACTCTTCTCATTCCTTTCGACTAACTCAGGATCTGAGAGATTATTGCTATCATAGTTGTTGGGATCTTCAATACCTATTCATAATTAATATAAGAAAGTTACAATTTCATTAAAGCATGTATACAAAAAATTTAAAACTAAATTTGTATCATTGATAGCATGAAATAATAAACATAAATTGCTGACTGATGATGTTAATGATTTGAAATTATCTAAATTTAATGGCTTTACATATGTACAATCAACTTTGATGATAATTTAAATCACATTACAATTTTCATTATGACATATACACATTTGTTTACAATATTTACAAAATAATTCATTTACCATTATCATCCAAAACATCAATTCCATCATTGCCATCTGATTGCACTGTAGTATGAGTTTCAATTTTAATATCATTTATCATAACTGAATCATTTAATTTATCCTCAATTACAGTTTGATCCAGAGTAACTTGTAATTTATTTAAGCTATGCTTTTTATCTTCTTGATTATATTGGGAATCCCCAGAATAGGATTTTATACTATAATCATTATTTCCTTCAAAAATATTTTCAGTCTTTATTTCAATGTCATTGTTAAGATAATTAAGTTGTGGATTATTATGTGACAAACCAACAGTCTTTTGTATAGGTTCAAAAGATTCAATTGATTTTTGATTCTTCACATTAATTTCCGTTTTCAAATCTTGTTTAAGATCTGATTCAATATTAATATTTATTTTTCTTTTCGGTCTTCGGTTCCTGATACCTAAGTAATGAATAAAAAATATCAGTAAGATTAAAAATATTAATATTACATTGGCAAATCTTACAGTACTTAATAATCAAAAGTTTTGTAAAAAAAATTATATACTTTTGTATATTATTATATTTTGTCAAATTTCACATTAACAACAAACATCAATATTAAAACTGAGTTAATACAGTTTCTAAAATTTACTTCAAATAATAGTTCGAAACCAACACAAACTGTATAAATGAACAAATTAAATAGAAAAACTCTTACGTTTAGCACTAGGTCTAGGTGCGACTTTAACACTTTCTGTGCAATATTGCGGAAGACCGCAAGTATTTAAACGAGTTCTTCTATGTTTAATCAAATTTCCTATACAAGAAAATCTGGCACCGCAAGCCAAACACAAATATGGCTTAATACCAGTATGCACTGATGAATGAGTTACTAAAGACTCTCTATATGCAAATGATTTTTCACAAACCTAAAAAAATAAATAATTAAAAAAAATTCTTATGTGTTATGGACTTTAAATTATATTGCAATTTCAAATTAAAAATATTTGCAACCTCTTAATTCTCTCTATCATATAATTTTATTATTTTTTAGTATTTATCATGATAACTAAGCAAACTCATAAATATAACAAATAAATAATAAATAATTTGTAGAAATTGTTTTTAACCTGTTTGGTTCTGTTTTAGATACATTTACAAACAGAAAGCAGTGAAATGGTTTCAATTTGATAAACAAAGGTTGCCAAGAACTTTACACAAGACTTATTTTCAATTGTTAAAATTTTATAATTAAAATAAAACAGTTAATTCCATCCTGTTAAGTAGAAATTTGTTAGCATTGTTAATTTTTGTATTAGTTTACTCAAATTTTTAAAATTCAAATTTATATTCTGTAGTTTTGTAATTTTAAGTATTATATAAATTTTATAAATTCTTAATTAAAATATAAAATAAAATTAATACAAAAAATGGTTTTTATATTTACAGCAAATTCTATTAAATTTTTAAGTAACATCTAAGACACCTACACGTTAATTTAGTAATTTAGAAACGTAACAAAAACGAAACCATTACGTTTTCGCGCAATTTGGAAACGTAACAAAAACGAAATTGTTACGTTTTCGTGTAACGTAACAGGCCGTTACGTTTTTGAGGCGGAAATAGAAACGTCTGTGTGCCTCCTAGGTTACGTAACCGCTATGTTTGACGTAACATCTGTTACGTTATATTAACGTTTTAATTACGTTTTGTGGTTCACTGGGTAGAAATACAATAGCTAAGTATTTTGGCTCACAGTCAGAGCATTTTATTTCTAGAGCTTGGATTTATTATTATATTCTGTTTTTATTTTAATTATCATATCAATTACTGTTTTAAGAAATATTTAAAGAAAAATCAAACTGTGTACTGACATATGAAACTATGGCTAAATAAATTATATTATTACATCATCAACTATCATGTAACAAAGCAATATAAGAGATTTCACAGTTGTGTGCACAATATATTTATATCTTTATCTTTTCATTTATTTAAATCATTACATCACATATCTTAAGCCGATAAAAATTAGTTTGGATTTTGAAACAAATTTGACAAATTTAACTGTCAACGAAATTTCACTAAAGATCTCAAAGTTTAATTCTGATATTCTTTTTCTTATTTTGAGTGTATTTCATACATACCTCACATGAAAAAGGCTTTTCACCAGTGTGACTACGTTCATGAACTTTCAACTGTCCTTTTGATAAAAAGCTGCTACCACAATAATTACATAAATGCTTTTTCTCACCTATATGTATTAGTTGATGAGCTCTCAAAGAGCTTTTAGTCATAAACTTTGAATTGCAATTATTGCATGACCATTGCCTTAGAGTTCCACATCTAGATTCTACATGATATCTGGTAAATTAAAAATATTGCAGTTTATAATTAATATAAGTATTGCCTTTGGATCTTGAAACAACAACAACTGTAGCATAGCTAATGTAATATTACTTAAAATATAAGTAATATTACTTAAGTTTCATTTATAAGCCTATTTTTTACATAGTTTGTTGTTGCTGCAAGATACACATATACTTCTTTTTATAAAAAATATAATTTAATTATTTTTATACTTAAGCTGTACGTTAGTCTTAAACTGTTGTCCACATTCACTGCAAACTGAATAAATTCTGTCGCGACCATCATGTTCCTTATTTATATGTGCATAAAATTCTTCCTCTTTTTTAAATTTTAGATTGCATAACTGACAGTTATTGATCTATGTCAAATACTATTTTAATAATACTGATAAGATATATCTTATTCATTAAGACAAATCATTTAATATTACATTATGTATTGCTTCCTTGTGTATTTTTCTTTCAGCATCAGAACAAAATTTTTTTCCACATTGTTTGCAAATGAAACCTCCTTCACCCTTGTGTCTTTGTACATGTCTTTCTAATCCAGTTGCATAACGAAATGATTGTTTGCAAATCTGTAATAACATTATATATTATACGCAATACTAAGAAAGTTTTTTTGTTGTGATTGAAATGTGTTCAATTTCATTAGAAGCTGAGATTAAAACAATTACGATATTATCTAGGAATAAACATTTAAAAATCATTTTAGAATAACAATAAAATATTTAATTATATAATGAAAATAGTACAGTAAACATAAAACTTTAATATATATCTTTTACCATGCAATCATGCATTCCACTTATGTTTTTCTTCGCTTTGGCATTTTCGTTCTTTGAACAATGTTTTTCATGCTTTGACAATGAGCCAGAACTTAAATAATCTTTATAACAAAATTGACACTTCGATTTGCTGTATTTGCGAAATTTTGCCCCATGTTCTGTCGATGAATTTGACTCACTGGATGAATATTCATCACATTCAGATAATATTTTTAGAAGTCCATCATGCACTTTAGAATTATTTTCCATACTATTAGCACAATATTTTGTAAACAAGTGCTCAGGCACTTACAATGTGCACTTGTTAGAATTATAAACAAAAATATTTAAAAAATATCAGATAGTGAAATAATTATTCTATAAATATAGAAAAATAAAAAGAAAAAAACAGTAAATTTTCACTATACACACTATTATTGCATATTATTGACATTTGTAATGTTTATATAAAATGGCTCCCATATTTTGATAGTGTGTTGACAAATGTAGGGCCAGTGCTCGGAAACCTTTTCACCGCTTCGCTTTTATAAGAAAAGAGAATGCTTATATCATACTATCAAACACAAATGTGCATTTTAATATCATTATTATTAATTGCAGAAAGATTCTGCTTTATTATGGTTCACGAGGATAGGGTTTATTTAAGTCAATTTTTTTTTCTATTGATAAGGAGATGTGCTGATTAGTTTTTGGCAAAGGCAGGTCCAGCAGTTATGGAGATAAAGAGCAAAGAGTGCAGAAAATACAAATCGAGTTTCCAATCCAATTTGAATGATCTAAAAAATATTCAATGTGTCGTCATAATTCTACCCTGTTAGAACTTTTATTTTTTATCAAACCCTGATCGGTTTCAATACCGAAATTTTGTATATCTTATTCTACCCTGTTGTAACTTTTATTTTTTATCAAACCCTGATCGGTTTCAATACCGAAATTTTGTATATCTCATTCTACCCTGTTGTAACTTTTATTTTTGATCGATTTAGATACCGAAATTTTGTATATCTCATTCTACCCTGTTGTAACTTTTATTTTTTATCAAATCCTGATCGGTTTAGACACCGAAATTTTGTATATCTCATTCTACCCTATTGTAACTTTTATTTTTTATCACACCCTGAACAAAAAATTGTATATCTCATTCTACCCTGTTGCAACTTTTATTTTTTATCAAACCCTGATCGGTTTAGACACCGAAATTTTGTATATCTCATTCTACCCTGTTGTAACTTTTATTTTTTATCAAATCCTGATCGGTTTCAAGACCGAAATTTTGTATATCTCATTCTACCCTGTTGTAACTTTTAATTTTTATCACACCCTGATCGGTTTCAATACCGAAATTTTGTATATCTCATTCTACCCTGTTGTAACTTTTTTTTTTTATCAAACCCTGATCGGTTTAGATACCGAAATTTTGTATATCTTATTCTACCCTGTTGTAACTTTTAATTTTTATCACACCCTGTTCGGTTTAGATACCAAAATTTTGTATATCTCATTCTACCCTGTTGTAACTTTTATTTTTTATCACACCCTGAACAAAAAATTGTATATCTCATTCTACACTGTTATAACTTTTAATCTCTATCACACCCTGATCGGTTTAGGCACCGAAATTTTCGAGACTACCATCGAATTTTCGAGTTTTTAATTTGATTTCGTCGAGTCTACAAGTCTACAGCTCTTCAAGTTTTATTGGTTAAAAGTATAACAAAAGTTTTAATGGTAAAAGTATTACAAAAACAATAATAAATTGGCCACAAACAGCTATGTAAGGCGTCTAGAGTGCATGAGTAGGGATTTCTCTTTCAGCTCTATAAGTCTTTAGTACAAAAATAAATTGGCCACAAACAAAAACAGCTATGTAAGGCACTCTAGATCGCACAAGTAGGGCTTCCTCTGAAAGTTTTATCTCTTAATATTAACGTTTAGATAGAACGCAATTCAATCAAAGTTTGTATGGAAAGAGCATGGAAAAAAATTTGAAAATTTAAAAATAATGTTTTAGAAATAACTTAGCGACAAATGAATAAGCTTTATTCATTCATTTGTTCGCTAAATCACATCTAAAAAACATTTTTAAAATTTTTGAAAATTTTTCAAAGACATTTCGCCATACAAATCTTTGATTGAATTGCGCTCCAGCAAATCGCTGGAACTTCCCGTACTGAAAATTTATTTTTTTAAAAAATGTTCAACATTTTTTTAAAACTTAAAAATTAGGTTTTTGAGAATTTTGAAATTTTTGACAAAAAATTGATTTTTAAGAAAAGTGTGACTTTTTTATATCTGTGATATTTTGGAAATTTTGAACTTCCAAAATCCTGAACTCAACGTCAAGTAAATTTTTAGGTTCTTCTTTATTTCACTCAAATTTTACTCTTCCCGAAGAAGAAGTTTATGTTTTCGCCAAAAAATTCGATTTACTAATTTTACATTTTCTCGGCGTTTCTGGTTGTTTATATAAATGAGCAGAACTTACTTCTATATTTAAAAAAAAAACCCAATGTTAAAAATATGACCTCCAGTTGTGGTCAACCAAAGACTATATATAGGAGAACCACTTCTCATAGGCCTATAATATTTTAAGGTGTTCGGTTTCACTATCAGTCTCATGCAAAGTTTCATCAAAATCTCAGAAGAGTAAACATGAGATTCTCAATAAACTTACGTTTAGTACACGGCACAAATGTTTAATTTGTTTAATTATTTTCAAGGAACAGGGTAGAATATTCTTCTGATTCAGGCATTTTTCATTAAATCAAGATTAGTACTACAATGTAACTTTAAAATGTTTATTTATGTATGGCAATTTCCTTGTTGATATGCCGTTACGCATACACCGACAGATCTCTATTCACATATACGACGCCTAATTAGAATCGACCCGTATAGAAATGATTTAATCGAGAGCGAATGACGTAAAGTTCGGGCGTAACGGACTTCCGTTGCATTTGTACGGATTTACACCCTAGTCGCGCCTAAAGAAGTTTCACTTAAAAAATACGAATGTAAATAAAAACAAAACATTGAATCGGTCAGTACATCAGATCTGAGGAAGTAGGCTTTGCACGAGGCATTTGGTTTTTGTCACATAGACCTTGAAAAAGAATTTGAAGACAAATTATATAAAGAAGACAAAGCACATAAATATTATAGATAATAAAATAACTTCGTCTTTCAATATTCAAAGATAGTTTTTATTCAGTTTTATAAAATATACCCAAATGCCCACAGTATTTATGTTACATGAATAGGTCTTGTAGAGTATTAAAATATTGTAAAATCTATATTATATTAAATAATCTATATAATAAAAATACTATTTTTAATTTAACTCTATCATTCAATATATGAGCCGCTCAGTGCACACATCGACTAACTCCACTTTTTGAAAAAACTGAGATATTAGTGGGAAAGAACTTGGTATAATCATAACTTTTAGTTTTTATAATAACTTTCCGGAATAATAAAGATTAGCACCGTTAAATGGCAAATTTTTTTTGGCCATTGAATAATTTATTTCAGAAGCCATTTCGATTAACTCCATACTCTGTATAATGTAAATCGTTTCAGTAACGCTGTATCTGTTCTGGCCGTGCATCGACGCTTCTATATTTATATTTGAATTCATATTATCAGGGAAATTTTAAAAAACAATATACATTACATCATCGCGTTTCTCAACTTTTTGTTTTATGGAGTTAATCGATGTGTGCACTGAGCGGCTCATATATATATATATATATATATATATATATATATATATATATATATTATATATATATATATATATATATTAAAATGCATTACTTAAATTATGATAATTTTAATACAATTGATGTTTCAATCAAGCACGTCATAATATTTTTTCAACCCTTTTTTCGTGATTTTCCAAATTGGAAATCCCTTTTCCCATCATTCCCTTTTTTCGTCCTTTTTTCAAATATGCAAGAAAACATTCGTGGTATTAAGATCTTTAAAAGCACACATGCCTATTCATTCTGAAGAGCGTCCATATAATTGTGGAATATGTAATAAAGCATACACATTAAAAGGTAATTTGAAATGGCATATGCGGTCACATACTGAAGAAAAGACACTATAAATGTGAGACATGTAATAAGTACATAAAAAAATATAGTCTGATCAAACACAATAAGCGCTTTCATGAGCAGAACACAAAATAAATCAATTCCTCAAAGGGCTATTAATAAATACACTCTTACTCTATTTTGATTTAAACTTTTTGTTATATTTGTTTATCTTTAAGTTTTAAATTTTAAATCATTGCAAAATAACTATATTTGTATTCAATTTTCAGAATTATATTCAAATTGATCAATTTTTGATATGTTTTTTTATTTAGTTAGTAACATTGATAGTTGTTTTTTCCAAAATTAACTATTTATAAGTTGAATTTCACATTTTTCAAATGTGCTCCGGTTAGTTATGATTGAGAGAAAGTCAAATTTTTCTAACCAGAGAAAGACCAATGGTGTTAATTTATATAATAAATTAAGAACAGATAATTTCTTGAATTTCCACAAAAAGGTGGTTATGTTTTGAAGTTTTGAATCCAAATCACAATCAAAATAATTAGGAATATCTAAGAAACACCACCAACATTCTTATAAATTATGATCATCTTTCAAAACTTTTATACATATATGTTGTATTCATATTTTTGACCTCGAATATAAATTACAAGGTGAAGAAAAAGACAAGTTTTATCAGAATAATAGTAAACTTGAGCAAATTATCATACATTCAATCATACATTATGTGTAGCGAATCTTATTATTAAGAATTATGCAAATATAAAGCAACCTATAGTTGAAATGCATATAAGAGTCTAATAAGCCTCGACTCGATTTGTTTTTATTTCTCAACTAAGAATCTGTGCAACATTATTGAAATAGGTTAACAATTAGGAATAATTACCTCTTATGATATATCTCCTTGAATGAATTATCTTTAATTGTTGGAATATATTTTAATCATCTTTGAGTGAATTTAGTATCCATTTTAAAGTGCACTCTTCCATATCATCTCTATAATGTCCTGAATGAGTAGAATAATCCAAATATTTTCTTAAATCCTCCAATAACACCTAAACAATCATAATTTAATTATACATTTTGTGTAGTCATTCTCATTATTAAGAATTATGCAAAGATATAGAGAAACCTATAATTGTATTGCAAACGGAGTATAATTATCTCTTATGATATTTTTCCTGACTTAACAATAAATTCATAATAAATTTGAGGGGTAATCAAATATTATGCAAACATAGAGAACTCCATATAATTTTATTGCATATAAGAGTCTAATAAGCTTCTGTGCAACGTTATTCAATTAGGTTTAACATTCAAGAATAATTACCTATCATGATATTTTCCTGATTTAACGATAAATTCATAATAAATTTGAGGGGTAATCATAAATTATGCATATATAGAGAACTCGAGGATCCATATAATTTTATTGCATACAAGATTGTAACAAGCTTCGACTTGATTTTTGTTTGTTTTTCAATTGAAATTTTGTGCAACATTATTCAATTAGGTTAACAACCGAGTATAATTACCTCTTATGATATATCTCCTGATTTAACAATTAATTCATGAGATAATTATCTTTAATTGTTGGAATATATTTTAATTATTAAGTGAACTTAGTATCCATTTTAAAGTGTGCTCTTCCATGTCATCTCTATAATGGCCTGAATGAGTAGAATAATCCAAATATTTTCTTAAATCCTCCGTTTAGGTTTTAACCTAAACAATCATAATTTAATCATATATTTCTGTATAGCGAATCTTATTATTAAAAATTATGCAAAAATATAGAGAAGAACCTCTATAATTGTATTACAAAAAAGAGTTTAACACGTATTGAAAATTAGGTTTTTAAATTTAAAGTATAAATTTCTATACTATAGGTTTTATATAGGTTTATATTTATATTATATAGGTACTATAGATTTATATTTTTTGTACATATTAGAGATATGGGCTGGCTATTATGTATAGTTATCAAATGAATCAACAGATTTAAGAGAAGTAACCATAGAACTAGATCAACTAGAAGTAACCATTAAACATAAATTACCAATAAATCAATAAATATAAAGGATAATTACCTCTTATGATATTTCTCCTGATTTAATAAGGAAAGTAACTTTAAATGTTGGAATATATTTTATAGTGATAGTGTATTTATAACCAATTACTTAATATCTATTTTATTTGAATTTTAAGGTGTCGTCTTCCATGCTTGATATGACAAAGTTATTATATCCTGAATGAGTAGAATAATCCAAATATTTTCTTAAATCATACATTTCTGTATAGCGAATCTTATTATTATAAATTATGCAAAGATATAGAGAAGAACCTCTATTGAACACGTATTGAAAATTAGGTTTTTAAATTTAAAGTATAAATTTCTATACTATAGGTTTTATATAGGTTTATATTTATATTATATAGGTACTATAGATTTATATTTTTTCTAAAAATGGAGGTTGAACTGACTACTGACATGACATTTGACTGAAAAGATTTATGAAAAATATTTCAAATGCTTATATAAATATTATTAACACAATTTTTTAACAGTTAATACTTACATTTTAATCGGTATTTATTATATCCTAATGTACCTATTGAAATACCTGCGATTTTGATACAAACGAACAATGACGAACGATCCGAACGAACCATATGAGTTTATTTATCTTTGATGTTTTCCACACTTACTATTTTGGCTATCTTCACAGCTTTCAGATAAGATAAATTTAATTTTGACGTTTCAAACTGAAAGAATAACAAAAATTTTGTGGTTATATATTTATATAAACTCAAATTTGCAAAAAAATGTGTAGAATTTGATTTACAAAAGTTTTAAACAAACTTTTTGTGTCAGACATAATGTTTTTAATCAATTGTACTTAGTGTCATTGTGCGGTTTTAACGAATTTATTTCAAATTGTTTGTTATTATTTTGATCCTTTGAATTCATACAACTGGCCGTTGTAATGTTTAATTACCCAACGAATGTTTAATTACCCAGCGAATAGTGCTTAATTATTGTGCGTAATTATGTTTTAACTAGTTTTTTAATAAGTTTTGCCATAAAATTTGATTTTAATCCTAATAATTAATAAATTTGAGACCGGGGTTCCGATTACTCTCAGGGGCTCTTTCAGTCGCGGGAGCGACTACGCGAGTACCCTCCAACCTGCCTATATAAAGGGGTGCTAATTAGCGGGCGGCTCATTAGCGCGTCAGCTCTCGAACAGTAAACATCTCGCGCAGTGGTGCAGTGCAAGTGATCAAAGCGAATAGTAAATATTATTATTTTGAAACCAAGTAGTGTTTTTTAAGTGTGTTTCGGTATGCAGTATATACTTATAAAAGGTAAGAGCTTTTACTTTTCATTATTTTGTACAATTATTATGTTTTATTAGCACAACAATTGACGCCGTTTGGTACAGATATGTAAACAGTCTTTACACCTGTAAAAATGTCTTAGGCGTGCTTAATTGTTGAGTTATTATAAATTTACTACATATTATTCAATATTGTGGCACCTCTACTCAATATTTATTGAAATTTTTACGTTTTTTGCAATTTAAATTTTGTTGTTTTTAAAAAATTCAAGATGGCGGCCATAATATTATTGACAGTTATTAGCACAACAACTGGCGCCGTTTGGTACAGATATGCAAACAAATGTTTATGTCTGTAAAAATGTTTTGGGTGTGCTTAGTTGTTGAGTTATTATAAATTTACTACAAATTATTTAATATTATGGAAAATCCAAGATGTGGGCCATAAAATTTCTGACTGTTATTAGCACAACAACTGACGCCGTGTGGTACTGATATGTAGACAGTGTTTACATCTGTAAAAATGTTTTAGGCGTGCTTAATTGTTGATTTTTGATAAATTTAATACATATTGTTTGATATTATTGCACTTTTCCCAATATTTATTGTAATTTTGCGGTTTTTTGCAATTTAAATTTTCTTGCTTTTCAAAATCCAAGATGGCGGCCATAACAACAACCGGTGGTTTTTGCCTGATTTAAGCATATAACCATTTGCACAACCTATTATTGATGAAAATTCAATAAACTTTGATGTAATAAATTCATTTACATTCAAAAACTGTGCCTGTAAAGTTTTTTTTGTTCAAAAAAGCAACGACAAATTCTTCGGTCCTCGTATCGTATTTGCTACGATAATTGCAATATAAATCATTATCATTTAACAAATTGAATTCATTTTCATCAAATTGCATATTGTTATTATTTATTATTTGCAACTTTTTCGCAAACTATTGACAAGCCATCTAGCGGCGCTTTTGCAAAACAAGATGGCGTCCGTTGCTAACTTTAGTTTATGTTCAAACCAGTACTTCTGCTTTATATTTAAATATTTACAATTATTATTTATTCAATAATTATACACCTTTATTATTTTTTATATTAATTTCAAGTTATATAAAATAATAAATATGTAATTGAATTATTTCATATCATTTTTATATATATTTTATTAAAATATGACATAATTCCATCATAGACTTATTACTATATATGACTTAAAAATAATATAAAATTCTAATGAATTAATTAATAGTTATTTTTAAACGTTTTGAAACAAATCTATCGTTATATTTTTCATTATTTTCAGATTTTGATATGATCTTATCACTTCGAGCCCACATCACTTCATTTTGCAGAGAGTTGCAGATGCAGAATTTGCAGATATTTATAATATTGCAGAGAGATAAATGGGCGAAGATGCTGCAAAGGTAGGATTTCTTTTATTTTCAACTTATGGGAATTATATTATTTTTTTACTTAAAAAAATAAATAATTTTCATAGCCCATGATGATATTTATGCGGATGCGGTGATAAGCAATGTGTTCATTTCATATATTATAATTGATTGATGATTTATTTATGTTATATTATTATTTATGCGCTCGAAATATCCTATATATATGTATTTAAATTTGTCGTCGTTGCTGAGAGATCTTCAAAAGGTTAGTGGCTTTGTTTTTCATTTAATTTCTTTTATTTGTGCAACATTTTGTTAGCATTTTTTATATCTGCACTATTTTTATCACTTGCTTGTCACCATCGATACGAGATTTTTTACTAGGATTTTTTCCAATTAGAATTTTTAATGATCAAGACTAACTTTTACTTTTTATCACACCCTGATCGGTTTAGACACCGAAATTTTGTATATCTCATTCTACCCTGTTGTAACTTTAATTTTTTATCAAACCCTGATCGGTTTCAATACCGAAATTTTGTATATCTCATTCTACCCTGTTGTAACTTTTATTTTTTATCAAGCCCTGATCGGTTTCAAGACCGAAATTTTGTATATCTCATTCTACCCTGTTGTAACTTTAATTTTTCATCAAACCCTGATCGGTTTCAATACCGAAATTTTGTATATCTCATTCTACCCTGTTGTAACTTTTATTTTTTATCAAACCCTGATCGGTTTAGACACCGAAATTTTGTATGTCTCATTCTACCCTGTTGTAACTTTTATTTTTTATCAAACCCTGATCGGTTTTAATACCGAAATTTTGTATATCTCATTTTACGCTGTTGTAACTTTTATTTTTTATCAAACCCTGATCG